AAGGCTAGGACATATAAAAGCTGGAAGGAGCCCTTTTATTCTACTCTAATTAGATCCTTATCCAAACACCTGCTATCCACAAAAAGACGGGTCACATTGACAATCAAAAATAACATTTATATATAACACTTTTCATTTACATATCACATTTCACACATAATTATTCATTTAATCCTCAGACAACTGATGAGGCCAGTAAAATTACTATCCTACACTATAGTCATAGAATGTGCTAGTGAATTGTGGAGTAGACTTTTAGTACAGTAGAATCTTAAGAGTAGAATCTGAGAGAAGGTCATTCAGTCTTGGCTCCTCATTTAACAGACTGAGCCCCAGGGATGTTAAATAACCCTTCCAAGGTCACATTGCTGGACCACGGTGCTGGGCGTGTACCTAGGTCTCCTGGCTCTTCTCACTACAGTATACTGGCTACCACCTGGAGGTACCTGAAATAGAGGTGCAGGCAGAGACTCTGAGGTCTGAGAGACCTGGCCTGGATTCCCAGCTCTACCACCCAGTGGTCAAATGACCTGGGGCAAATTGCTTCACCTCCAGTCTTCGGCTTCCTTGCCTCTAAACAGTAATAGTAATAAACCACCCTCCAGAGTTGTGAGCATTAAACGAGATTACATGCATAAATCATTTGCTCATGGTAAGGAACTGGAGTTCCTGGAAAACATGACAAAGGCACCACCACAGCTGGGGTGGCTGTCTGAGCCAATGACTCCAATCCTGAGTCCATTGCTTCTGGCCTGTGCTGTCGGGGTGCTTTTTCTCTGCATGTTTTTTTTATTTCCAAACTAATGTCATAAATTAGTTCATTTTGCAGTTCTTGAACTGAAAATTTTTATTCAATATCTTTTATGAGAATCACTCAAAGAAATGCCAGAACAACAATAACAGTAATAGCTAACACTTATATAAACCCCACTTATGTGCCAGATACAGCTCTAAACACTTTAAATGTACTTAATCCTCACAGAAACCCTGTAAGATAGTTCAAAGGTAAACTGAATTGATAAAATAAATCTGACGTGATTTTTTCTTTTTTTTTCTTTCTCGAGATGGAGTCTCACTCTGTCACCCAGGCTGGAGTGCAATTGGTGTGATCTTGGCTCACTGCAACCACCACCTCCCAGGTTCAAGAGATTCTCCTGCTTCAGCCTCCCGAGTAGCTGTGACTACCAGTGTGCACCACCATGTCCGGCTAATTTTTGTATTTTTAGTACAGACGGGGTTTCACCATGTTAGCCAGGCTGGTCTCGAACTCCTGACCTCAGGTGATCCACTTGCCTTGGCCTCCCAAAGTGCTGGGAATACAGGCGTGAGCCACTGCGCCTGGCCAAATCTGACGTTTTAAAAAGATGTATTTACACTGACAGTAATACTAGTTCTTTGTATATATCTGGCTGCAAAGAAACACTTGGAGGTTTTGGATGGGATTTAAATTAAGAGACCAAATGGTGTCCACTCAAATTCAATTTGAGGCAATCTTTCAACATTTCTCCCACTCTGTTGCCTGCTAAAAACATCATTTTCCCTCAATGGACTAAACTATGTAGTACCGACTTATTTTAAAAGGTTTATGATGAAAAATGTCAAACCTATACAAAAGCTGAGAGAATAATATAACGTATGCCCATGTACCCACCACCCAGCTTCAACAAATTACCAGCTTCAACAAACCATCACTTTTCAATGGATTTTTCCTTACCCCTCCCCATACTCCTTAGGGAAGACTTTTTTTTTTTTTTTTTTTTTTTTTTGAGACGGAGTCTCACTCTGTCGGCCAGGTGCAATCTCAGCTCACTGCAACCTCCGTCTCCCGGATTTAAGCAAGTCTCCTGCCTCAGCCTCCCGAGTACCCGGGACTACAGGCGCCCACCACTACGTCCAGCTAATTTTTGTATTTTTAGTACAGACAGGGTTTCACCATGTTAGCCAGGATCGTCTCATCTCCTGACCTCGTGATCCGCCCGTCTCGGTCTCCCAAAGTGCTGGGATTACAGGCCTGAGCCACTGCGCCCGGCCGACTTTTTTTTCTTTTTTTAACAAATGCTATGCACAGACAAAACATCATCTATAAGAAACCTGATTCTGAGCGTCCTTCATATCACACTCTGCTACAAAATGATTCCACCTTCTCTTTTCACAATTTCTAGTCCTTTTATTCTAAGTCTATTCCCTAGCATAAGGCTTTATCCTACCCATTTTCATCCCTCTGGCTTTGCATGTGGCAAAATCCAAACGGAGAAAGTAAGTGTCTGTGGGGCTTCAAACATCCAAATGACAGTGAGAAGAATAACAAATTCATCAGAGAGGGTGAGGGGTAAAAAATGGGAGAGGCACTCCAATACAAATCTTCTTCTTGGCAGATGGGGAAACTGAGACCCATGCTCTTAGCTGTCCAAGGTACAGATGAGAATCACTTGAATCAAGAAATGAAGACAGGATGTGTGGAAAGTAAGCTTCTACTATCCATACTTCACTCCTTTCCACCATCTCTACCCATTCCTACCACATCTGTGAGGGCCAGAACCATTTCCCCAGACCCTCTGGGGGCAGCATTAAACTGTCTCAAAGCATGTGTAACATCAGCAGATTTTTAAATCCTTAAGGGCAAAAATCAAACCTCAGTCTCCCCCCACAAAGCTTAATAAGGTAGTTGATTGACACTCAGTGGTCACTCAAATATTTACCGACCCAGAACAGAGCTTCCTAGCGTTAAAAGTTCTCCTTTACCCATTTCCCAGCAACCAGAACCCTAAGCCTATCAGGCTTCCTATTTTTCTCCCTCTCTCTACAAGCTCCGGCAGCCCCATTTCTTATGAGGCTGTAGTATAAAGAACGCAAAATGGGTAATCAGAAAGACTGAGTTTGTGTCTTGGCTGCTACATCTGGTTTGTGCGGCCTCGGACACATCAGCCCTTTCCAGGGACTCCACACCCGGATCTGTAAAATGGGCAGGTTTTAGGAAGCCTTCGTGGATCCAGCCTCCTCTCCGGCGCCGCCCTCTTCAAGCAGCGCCACACTGGGCCTCGGCTTCTCCCACAATGTCCACGACCTGGGGTGGGTCCGCTCCACTCTCCGAGCTGCTCACACTCCAGAGCACTGCATCCTTACCTCCCACTCCCAGGTTGACCTTGCGGGGGTCCGGATCCTCCCGGAAGTCGGCAGTGAGCTTGAAGACCAGGACAGGCTGGGCCTGCGGAACCTCGGAAAAGACTGACGGAGGCGCCATATCGAGAGAGCAGGAAACGAACGCTTTCACCCTGCGCCCGGAGCTGGCCTGTCAGGTCTGGCCGCTGCGACTGGAGGAGACTCTCACCTTCACCTAGCCGACGGGGGCGGGCCGCGGCCTCCAATGGTCGAGCCGCGTCCAGAGCTTGGCAACGCGACTAACCAATCGGCAGCTTGTGACGACGAAGAGACAGGCGGGAAGGAACGCTATTAGCCAATCCAAGAAAACAATCTTATCGGCGGCCGAGAATGATGTAACCAATGCAATTTACTCCGGCTTAGGCGTGGGCGGAGACTACGGTTGATTGGTAGAGCGTGCTCCTATCGCAGAGGCTGTTATTCCTTCGGTCTCCCCGCGGAGGGGAGGAGCCGAGCGCGCGGCGGGTGTCCAGGAGAGGACGCCTCTTCGACCTTCGAGGACCTGGAGGATACCGGGAGGTGGCCGGAGGGAGTTCCCGAGGACAGGTCTTCCTGTTCCCGCCGAGCAGGTGTTGGCGCTGCCAGGCCCGGCCTGGCGGGCACGGGCTAGCAGCCAAATACGCAGCGTCTGTGCTCGGGACGCGAGTGTTCGGACAGGACGTACAGCTCTGGAGCCCGCGCGGGCGACCTTGACCACTTTGGTCGGCTGTTTCCCTCTGAGGGAAGTGTAGCTGTGCTGCCAGCCTTGGTCTCTGGCAGGGAAAGTCCTTCCAACAGGGAGGGGTGCCCACGAATTCCTTTTTGCCGCTCTTCTATTAATAGTTTGAGATTTTCCTCCCCGGTTCCTTGCAGAGGGCCTGGTGCTCAAGGACCTCGGGATCTGGGCGCGGCGTCCCTTCCCAGCTTCCACCCGCGCGCACCGGACCAGATCTTGCTGTCGTCAGCTGGCTGGTACCCAAAGTGCCTCTTCGTCAGGCTGTTCCTTCCCCGTTCGAGTCCTTCCTCCCCAGGAGCCCTGTCCATCTGTTGACCTTCAAGACCCAGAGCGAATGCCACTTCATCCATGAAGCCTTCCCTTAACCCTTATTCTGGCCAAAATGTCTCTTTCCTGTGCTTCTGTACTTTTAACAATTTTAGAAAATGCCTTTGTGGTTAAGAACCTATCCCCGGGACTGGACTATCTAGGTTTAGATTCTGGCTGCCGCTTACGATCTTGGCAGGTTTAGTCACGTTATTTTAACCTTTCTGTGGAAGTTCCTGCTCTGTGGAAATAATAGTATTTTCCTCAGAGTTGGTGTGGGGATTTTGTGAGTTATTACATATACGAAGTGGTTAGTTGCATATAAGAACCACTCTCTAAATGTCAGCTATTGTTACCATTGCATATCTGCCACACCCTTCGTAGATGGTAAACTTTTTTTTTTTTTACTTTTAGGTTCAGAGGTACATGCACATGTTTGTTTTATAGGTAAACTGCTTGTCAGGTGGGTTTGGTGTACAAATTATTTTGTCACCCAGATAGTAAGCATAGTACTTGACAGGTACTTTTTCTGATCCTCTCCCTCCACCCACCCTCTACCCTCAAGTAGGTCCCAGTGTCTTGTTCTCTTCTTTGTGTCCATGTGTTCTCAATGTTTAGCTCCCACTTATAAGTCAGAACGTGTAGTATTTGGTTTTCTCTTCCGCATTAGTTCACTTAGGATAAAGGTCTCCAGCTCCATCCATGTTGCTGCAAAGGACATGATCTCTTTCTTTTTTATGGCTGCATAGTATTCCATGGTGTATATGTACCGTACTTTCTTCATCCTGTCTGATGGGCATTTAGGTGATGGGCATTTAGGTTGATTCCATGTCTTTACGATTGTGAATAGAGCTGCAGTGAACATACATGTACATGTGTCTTTATGGTAGAACGATTTGTATTCTTTGGGTATAGATCCAATACTGGGATTGCTGGGTCGAGTGGTAATTCTGTTTTAAGTTCTTTGAGAAATCGCCACACTGCTTTCCACAGTGACTAAGCTAATTTCTGTTCCCACCAGCATTGTATAAGCATTCCCTTTTCTCCACAACTTCACCAGCATCTGTTATTTCTTGACTTTTATTCATAGCCATTCTGACTGGTGTGAGATGATATCTCATTGTAGTTTTGATTTGAATTTCTCTAGTGATTAGTGATGTTGAGTATTCTATATGCTTCTTGGCCATGTAGCTTCTTTTGGCTAGGGACCTGTAAGTCTCCCTAAGTTTCTTGCACTTACTAAGCCTTCAACAAATGGTAGAAGAGTCAATTCTGTTGGTGTTTCAGAAGAAAACAATATCACAGCCCGTCTCCAATGGATAGTACTATAAATCTTAAAATGAATTTTCATTCAGAGTAATAAACACAAGCCAAAGTTTTGTAGATATGTAACATCTGTCAACTTTTTGTGTTATCTACTTGTTTTCCGAAACACTGCTTCTGGTTTTAAAGGTAACTGCCCATAGTGTTTCACTAATAACATTTTAAGCATTACAAGTTCAACACTGAAGGTCAAATGACAATGAACTTTCAGTGCTTCCAAAAGCAGGGGCAGAGGGCAACTGCTGAGGGGGACATTGTATAGCCTAACCTTCTCAGAATTTGATTTAAAAGTATGATCTTCACAGCGTTGGCCAGCAATATCATGGTCACTCCCTACGTCATTCCCTGGGAGAAAAACAGCCCTAGGTTACCTAAACACTGTTGGCTAAGACCAAATATTTATTAACATCCTAAGCAGCCCCATAATCAAGCCAACGCTGATAGGGACAAAGAAGGTGCCATGTGCAGTTTTTCTCTATGTCCCCGCAATATCTGATCTGAATTTTAAAAAGGGCAATTACTGGGGGAGAAGGAAGCCTATATATTATGTAGGATCCAAGTCTCAAACTGCTTTCCTAGGGAGTGTGAGGTTCTTGGAGATTAAGTGCAGTACCTTTCTGTCTTGAGTCCTGTAGGCTGCCCTTCTAATTTAATGCCAGTCTTGAAATAAACAGAATGCTTTCCAAGTCATCACTAATTTTAACACTTTGGCTTAGAATTGATTCAACACTGCCTCCTTGCTGAATGGATAATTCAAGCAAAAGACTCAAGAGCTGGATGCTACCCAGACAGGTAGGCAGCCAGATGAAGTGAGTGCCCAGGGAAAGGGCAGTAAGGGTCAGAAGAGAAAGAGGCTGGTGTTGTCACTGCCTCCTGCCTTCCTTATGACTGTCTGTTCAGGAGTCGTCCTAGCATCTCCCTTCTGCTGTGCTCCCTTTCCTGAAACCTTTTCTTCAAAAGAAGTGGAAAAGAGGAACAGGGAACCCGTATAGCAACAGCATCACCTGGAATGAATTCCTTTAGAACATACTGTCTTGGAAATCTAAAGCCTGCAGGGCTGGACAGGCAAGAAGAGCAGTGAGCACCGCATGAACCTAAAAGCAAATCAGCATGTGGATGGTTTTTTGTTTTTTGGGTTTTTTTGAGACAGTCTTACTCTGTTGCCTAGGCTGGAGTGCAGTGGCACGATCTTGGCTCACTGCAACCTCCGCCTGCTGGGCCAAGGTGATTGTCCCACTTCAACCTCTCAAGTAGCTGGGACCACAGGTGTGCACCAACATGTGCAGTGAATTTTTGTAGAGATGGGGTTTCGTTGTGTTGGCCAAGCTGGTCTCGAACTCCTAGGCTAAGCAGTCGGCCTCCCAAAGTGTTGGGATTACAGGCATGAGCCACTGCACCAGGCCACACATGCTTATTTTACTCAGTCTTGCCCCTGAATACCCAGAAGGCCTAAACTTAGGAAAAAGTCAGGGGAGGGATGAGTTTATCATTCTTTGCACTCAAGCACAAAGTGCTTTGGAGTCGTTATATTTGGGTGAGTGCTTGCACTATGAGTAGGATATTATTTAGAAGCTGAGTTGTGTGCTGAGCAAATACTTCTTTAAAAATCAAAGCTGTATGAAGAGATCTGTTCTAGAGTCACAGTGTGGCTAAATAGTGTGCTGTAAGATAAGCATAGGGCTCCTGAGGTGGTGCTGTTCTCCCACTGTAGTGAGTTTACTGTTCTTGCTAAGGAAAGTGATCCTTTATCAACCTCTCCTCTCAAATGAACTGGCTTGTTTCCTGAGTGTGCCTTCATGGAACCATGTCTCCTCTTCCCTCAGTTCTCTCCTTCCCTCCCTTATGTATGACTCCTCCCATAATCCACACACATGGATTGAACCAAGTGAGGATACTTATCTGCTTCCTACCTCATAGAAGGGCATAGAGTGGACAGGGTCTAAGGTTAGTTCCTGAACTGAGTACCCACACATGCAGAACTTTATTTAAAGCTGCTGAAATTTTTGTATGACAGATAGATCAATAGGACTGAAAACTGATGGTTTTACCTACTTGTTGAACGTGATTAAGTTCCATGGCACCATTTTAAAATTGTGCTGTATAGTTTTTGTATGTTGCTTAAGAAGCAGTTTAGCCTAATGGTTAAAAGCATGGCCTCTGGAACTAGATTTCCTCTGTATGCCTCAGTTTCCTCATCTGGGAATAATAATAGTTCTACCTCATGGGGTTGCTATGAGGATTAAATTATTTAATTAAATGATTTCATACAACTCTGAATTGTACTTGACACTTAGTACTCAAATATTAACTGGGCCCATCATTATCATTACAGATGTTGTTTACAAGCACTTGCCTTTGAGATTTGTTTAGCTTTTTTATTAAATTATGAGCGGCATAGTAGAACAATACATAGGCTTGGGCCTGGAATCAAATTCTAGCTTTGCCTGTTACTAGTTTTGAAACTTTGAGTAAATTACTTGATGTGTCTGAGTTTTAATATTCTTATATGTAAATTATTTTTTTTAAGGATTTTGCTTAGTGTTGATATACACACGTTTAACACAGTTATGGAAATTATTTTTTTTACTATTGTCATAGATAAGAAATTAGCCCCTGGGTTGCTGGAGGGTGGTAATGGTTAGGCAAACTCTCTTTGAAGTCTGCTTGATCTGGCCTCTTGCAGGCATGTACTCCGAAATATTTTTCAAATGGAAAAGAAGGCAGAGAACACAATTTTCAAAATATCTAGAGGCCTCCGAGAAGTCTTTGTAGAGATCTATAAAATCTCAAGGCAATTTAAAGGTAATAAGACAACTTTATTAATAATTAAAATGTAAATGTTAATGATAGCCCTTTGTATACCTATATTATCTTTTTTTGAATAATAGAAAATGTTTTAGAAACACTATTCTCTCCACATCCTGGGGCCGCAGCCTTCTCCAAAGAAACACAAAGGAAATGAATTGCCTTAGCAAAGAAACAAAGACACTCCAAATAACAGAAGAATGGGAAAGCTACAGACCTTGAAGTCAGAAGAAAATTTCCTCTCCTTGCCCTGTTTCTCCTTAAATGGATCACCAGTACAGTCTCTTACTTCTAGAGCCATGTTAAGCCTTTTTCCCCTAAGTTGTAATGTCCTTTTGGTTGCATCATGTCCTAAGATGCAAGATGGTACAAGATGAAGGTATATGAAGAGATAATGAAGAAAACAAATTCAATGTATTTGCCAAGAACACAGTCTTTTAAATAACTCTTAAAGGGTTCGTTTAGAACAATGTAATAGATTGTGGTAATCTAGTACACAAAGCTAGTAGGAATCTCATGTATTAATAATATTTCAACATTCAGCAGTAGAGGGCAGCACTGTCCTTTTGCAAAATGTTGCGCACTCGAGAAGGAAAATAAAGGCAAAGCTCCTGACCCCTCTATCTGTGTTTACTTTTACCATAAAAAGAAAGAAAAAAAAAAGAATTGGAGTATTTTTATTATGGTTTAGGTGATGATGTATAAAGAATGTCAGAGCCTGGATTGCCTGGAAGTGGTACACCAGGTAATGCGAAAAACACGGAAGGTTTGAGGTCCCCCACTCAGGATATGGGTTCTGTCTAGCAAAGATAAACAGTAGCTTGACCCTGGGTAATCAGATAGGGTTATCGTATGAACAGACTTAATGCTCCTGCACTTTCTGGATAGAAGTCAATCTACTGAAATAGCAGGATGTGGTTTTAAAAAATGTGTGTAACTCGTATAGTCTTAGCCCTTTCTGCTGTGTTACTGTTGCTCTCTGTTATACATGGGTCAGGTCAGAACTATCTCAAATACAGTATGTGTATTATGACTTTAAGAAATGGTGTCAGACATGATGGGTAAGGAATGTCTTTCATGGGACTGCAGTTGGCTAAATGGCTGTGTATAAATAGTGAAATTGAAGCAAAAAAAAAAAAAAAAAAAAAAATCACAGTATGATTTGAGTTTCCCTAACCAGTAAATAGCAAAAAAAAAAAAAAAAAAAAAAGATCTGTTATTTTGTACTAAAAGTTACTTGATGCTCTTTAGCAGGATGACAGAATAATTCTAATTTTAGCAAATATAAAACCATGGTAATTCTAGCACATTTGGATTCTGTTTAACCCTGAAAACACTTTTGGCAGCAAATCTTCAATGCCAATTTAGATAAATCCCACTAGGAATAAGCACTGAAAGACATTGAGTCTAGTTCCCAGCTCTACCATGTGAAGTTGGGCAAATTACAACCTCTGAGCTTTTATTTCGCCTGTTAAATGGAGATAATACCTCCTAGATTTATTAAAAGGGTTAATTTAGAAAATATATATTAAAATGGTTTGAAAGCCACTTAAGTACCTAACAAATATTTCTATCCCTGTAGCTGAAAAAGATTCCTGCCTAGAAAACCTTATGACTCTTCTCATTTGGTATCATTCTATTGCCTGAGATTGTTAATTAACTTTTATGCATACTTAATATTTTCTCCCAACTTGGTTGCTAGTTCCTTGAGAAACTGAAACCATCAATTGCACTTCTTGGTATCCTCCACAACAAGGTATCTAGGTACTCAAATATTTGTTGGTGGATTAAAAACATAAACCGCAAGACATAATTAACTCTTTTTAAAATTGTGGTTAAAAACATGTATTTACCATCTTAACCATTTTTAAGTATACTGTATATTAGTGTTTTTTTTTTTTTTTATTGTTGTGCAAAACATCTCTAGGACTTTTTCGTCCAGATTTCTCTTTTTTTTTTTTTTTTTTTTTTGAGACAGTCTTGCTCTGTTGCCCAAGCTGGAGTGTAGTGGCACCATCTTGGCTCACTGCAACTGCTGCCTCCCGGGTTCAAATGATTCTCCTGCCTCAGCCTCCTGAGTAGCTGGGATTACATGTGCCTGCCACCATGCCTGGCAAATTTTTGCATTTTTAGTAGAAATGGGGTTTTACCATGTTGGCCAGGGCTGGCCTGGAACTCCAGACCTCAAGTGATCCACCCGCCTCAGCATCCCAAAGTGCTGGGATTACAGGCTTGAGCAACTATACCTGGCCTAGCCATTTTCTATAAACCTGAAAATAGATGCCAGAAAAGAAGGTGCCGCTATAAAATGCTTTCATGAGTGATTTATGTCTAACATACAATTAAACATTTATGAGCAGGAAATTATCAGGTTAAAATATAAACTCGCTTGCCAATTATTTGATTTTCAGGATATCTGCCTTTTGTTAATTACTGAAAATAAAGTATTATTTCTAATCACTATTGGTATCACAATAGCATTTTTATTTGGCCGGTATGTGTGAGGCCTGGAGTATGGAGGAAAACTGTCCCAGATAAGGACCTTGCATTGGCTGTAGAGAGTTCTGGAATGCTCAGGATGGCAAGATTGTATTTAACTCTTAAAAACAATGCACCTTTTCAAGCACAGATTTTCATCTGATGTCGTGACTATCAATTATGTCAAATTTGTTTGATATATTTAAAAATTAGTTTTCTCCTTCTCACAAAATAAATTCTAGATGTATAGATTTAAATATTTTAAACAATATTGGGAAAATAATATTTTAGAAACATAGTATTAGGGTAGAATAGACTTTCCTAATCATAGCACAATCTCAGAAGCTATAAAGAAAATAATTGACTTTGCATGGCTATAGACACCATAAATAAATATGTGATAACATGGAAGAATATTTGCAACATGCTTATTAGTCACATCTATTATATACTCAGAGCTTCACTGTATTGGTGGAAAATGAGGATATAAAGAAATTCAGAAAAGAATAAATACAAATAACCAATAAACATACCCAAAATCATCCTCATTATTAAATTGAAGCCACTCTATCAATGTTTACCCATTAGACTGACAAACATTTTAAATGTTGAAAAAATAGTGTTGAGGGGAAAGAGCACTGACATGCACTACTGGGGAGACTGTCAATCAATAAAGCCTTTTCTTAGAGTGCATTTTGGTAATAACAGTCAAAATTAAAATGCACATAATACCATTTGACCAAGCAATTTCTCCTCTAGGAGTCTATCCTAAATAAATTTATACAAGTTTTCAAAGATAGGTATGTAGGCATACAGTTATGCATTGTAGTTTTGCTTTAATAGAAAAAGAGTAAACACATGTATTATTTTTGAAACCTAAAAAAAAATCAAGTTTTTACTGAAAGAAAAAATGACAGGTTTGAAGCAGGACAGTGGCCATGGAAGTTGGAATCCACTAAGGCATGTGTAACAACTCACCTGCTGAGTCAACAAAAATAAATAAAAATTTTTTAAAAACAGGCTTGAGAGACACTTCACAGGAATAGAAAACTAAGACTGTTTCTATCAATGATAATAAAGTAGAACAGACAGGAAAAAATAATTCTCCAAAGCAAAGTATGTATGTGTGTAGTAACTTAAAACTTCAGATATTATGAGAAACTATTTTTAATTAAAGAACAATGTGGTGTGCTATAGTTTAGAGTTGATCTGGAAACCTGGGGAGCTATTGACGCTCCTTAGTTAATAAAATAATAATTTTTAAAAATATGAATCCCCATTATCCGTAGCAAACTAACGCAGGAACAGAAAACCTAACGCAGGAACAGAAAACCAAATGCCGCATGTTCTCATAAGTGGGGGCTGAATGATGAAGAACACATGGATACATGGAGGGAACAACACACACTGGGGCCTGTCGGGTGGGAGTAGGAGGAGGGAGGGCATCAGGAAGATAGCTAATGGATGCTTGGCTGAATACCTAGGTGACGGGATGATCTGTGCAGCAAACCACCAGGGTACGCATTTACCTATGTAACAAACCTGCACATCCTGCACATGTACTCCTGAACTTAAGAGTTGAAGAAAAAAAAAAAAAGACTACCACAATTCTGTATCCAAAGTCCTAGAATAGCTCCTGACATCAAACAGATGATAAATATTGGCTGAAGGAATGAATGAGGATATTTGCACCCGAGTTTTTATAAGAATAGATGTAAAATTGCCTAATGACTATTACTTGGTCTGCAACAAGTGTTTAATAGATACTAGTTCACTACTTATACTTACCTAACACATCACAAAGTTTTATTTATTTAAAAGAATTTATATAGTGCTTGTTATATGCTGGGTACTGTTCTAAGTTCTTTACAAACATTAACTCATTCAAGTTGTATCAAGTGAAGTAGGTGGTCTATTCCATTTAACAGATGAGGCAATTGAGGCAAAGAACAATTAAGTAATTTGCCCACGATGGCACAGCTAGACAATGGTGGGGATATGAACACAGTCTGCCTCCAGGGTCACTTCTCCACGGTGCCATATTGCATCCCACATGGTAAAAACTTACTAAATGTAAGAATGAATAAAATGTTACTGTTTTTGAAATTACATTATGCTTTTGCCCCAGAGAGCTCAGAATATTTTATACCAAACCATGCCTAAAAATCATTCCCACAACTTCCCTTTGAGGTAGAGCATATTTCTAAAATCATGTTTTAGTATATTACTGGTTTACTAGTTGTGTTTAAAAAGAACATGGGAGGTCATTGTTCCTATGATAAAGTCACAGTATTTGTTTTTTGACATCATATTCATTTCCATGACAACAGTTCCAAGTTCCAAACACAGAAACATCTTGCTCTAGAAATGGAAGAGGCATGGGGCCTACAGAGAATTACATAACAATGTCAAAATTGTTTAAAGGGGTAAGGTTGTGTGTGTGTCTTTTAATCTTTTGCGTAACTAAAGAAATGAGTCTCCAACTTTTTCAATCAATAATCTTTTTTTTGTATCTAAGCTTTGTAGGCTTTTCTTTTTTTAAGATGGAGTCTCTGTTGCCAGGCTGGAGTGCAGTGGCGTGATCATAGCTTATCACAGCCTCAAATTCCTGGGCAAAAGCAGACCTTCTACCTCAGCCTCCCAAGTAGCTGGGATTATAAGTTTTTTTCACCTGTTGGCTAGTTTTCGTTTTTTGGTGTTTTGTTTGTTTGTTTGTATTTTGTTTTTTTGTTTGAGTTGGAGTTTTGCTCTTGTTGCCCAGGCTAGAGTGCAATGGTGTGATCTCGGCTCCCCGCAGTCTCCGCCTCCTGCATTCAAGTGATTCTCCTGCCTCAGCCTTCCAAGTAGCTGGGATTACAGGCATGTGCCACCATGCCCGGCTAATTTTACATTTTTAGTAGAGACGGGGTTTCTCCATGTTGGTCAGGCTGGTCTCGAACTCCGAACCTCAGGTGGTCCGCCCACAGCCTCCCAAACTGCTGGGATTACAAGCATGAGCCACCGCACCCAGCCAGTTTTCATTTTAACCTTAGTTTAACTCCATTCCATAACAATACCAGTGTTTTTTTTTTTCATGATTCATTCATTCATTTATTCATTCATTCCATAAATATTTATTGACCATCTACTATGCTCCA